GTTATGGATTACAATACCTATATAAATAACAAGATGTGGTATGATTACCAAAGAAACAACAATCCACTAGTGATCAAATGAAGAGGATGTTTAGTTACGTATTAAATGTTTGAAACAAAATTAATATTATTTATTCCAAAGGTAAATGATAACCTTTACGATTGTTTTTTATTCAGGAAAACCATACGTTTACATGGATCGTTTGTCTATTTATGAGCATTATATACGACATAACTATATTAACCATACGTTTACATGGATCGTTTGTCTATTGATGAGCATTATATACGACATAACTATATTAACTATAACTATAGTAAGGATGTTCTCTTCTATTTATCATCATTTGAATGGTTATTTATATATGTGAGGGCGAACTCACAGTAAGGCATTCAAATTTTCAAAAGAGGACCAAAGCTGAGATGCGGTAACGGTATGATTGTCTACAGGTTGACTCTGTATGGACACTAGGGCCTTGAATCTAGACCAAACCAGTAGTTTCATTCTTCAAAAACGTTGGTGTAGTGTTTACGTCGTACTAATACAATGTTGTTGGTTGCTTTGTTGACCAGCACGAACACAAAACGCTTTCCGAATAAGTGTGGTTATTTCAAATACAGATTTTTTATCTTATGGAAATAAAAATTGAAAACAATAATATCAATTAATTCAATCTGACAAAAGTGCATAAGCTGTATGTGTTAAGCATAAGAAAAGGTTGATCAGAACATATTCAAGTTATAATTTAGGATATATTTTAAAAATTAGTTACAAAAAACCAATTCATTATTTACGTGGACACATTTATCTGAAAGTTCACCTGTATTTGATTAGGCATTTGATAGAAACGTTTTGAAATAATCTTAAAAGTATGAAAAAAAATGTTCTAATAACAATACGATCTTAATATTACCTTCTCCTTTAAAAGTATTTTTTTTTAACAAAATACCGTATCAATCGAAATATGATATGAGGCATTCGTTCTGCCTGACATTTTACATTAACTATATCGAAAAGGGTTGTTACTTATGGCGTATGTATTATATTAATAATGACAATATCTCTATGCTTCTCTTTGCTTCTCATGTACGAATAGGTTGTATTTTTACTTCTATGTAATTGCGTCTTTATCTAATTTTAATAAAAAAAGCACATACAAAATGTACTGTATACTTATCTGTTTGGTACAAAACACTTACAATGGACAGAAAAATAAAAATTAAAATACTAGTTTAAATAAATATAAAAAACCAACACTTCATCAATTTAAAACAAATATGATCAATATATTGTTTCGAAGTGTTTATGGCTTTAAAGTTGAAACTGCGTTTTCGTAGACGTGATAGCTAATAAAGAGAAATAAATATATTCAGATTTTTGTTAAAGAAGACAATAACATATCGTTTATTTTCATTATTTATAATCCAACTTTGGGGGGAGTAAAGGTGCAATACCACCAAATCATAGTACGTCACATCCCTTGCATACGAAAAAGGGTCGAAATAAAATATTCCCTTGACTTTGACAGTTGTAGGAAATTATTCCTACATTTCATTGCAGTAAACAAAAACTGAGTCATCAACATATATCTTGGGTGTTTCAAAGCACCATCCTTTTTTTATTTGTTGTTTCTATAAACTATTTTGGAAACTTTAGGTAACATGGTTTCTTAAGCTTGTAAACAGGAAAGAAAAGGGTGGACATTTGGTTGGTTAACTTACAGTGATGGTTATTATCTTATATGCAATGAAATGTTATGTGAAATTCTGTCTGTAGTACTGGACAGGATACAACTTTACTCATGCTTAGTATTTCTTTATTTGGAACAAAGATAAATTCTGCACAATTTTTGGAAAAGGACAGGAGCTAGTCGGCGTACGTCAATGGAACAAATGATACCTGATATGCATGATCTCCAACAGGAGCTAGTCGGCGTGCGTCAATGGGACAAATGATACCTGATATGCATGATCTCCAACAGGAGCTAGTCGGCGTGGGTCAATGGAACAAATGATACCTGATATGCATGATCTCCAACAGGAGCTAGTCGGCGTGGGTCAATGGGACAAATGATACCTGATATGCATGATCTCCAACAGGAGCTAGTCGGCGTGCGTCAATGGGACAAATGATACCTGATATTCATGCATCACTCACAATGCCAGTCCATACTTAGTCAAAACGTCACTATCAGGAATACGACACAATCGGTAAATTTATAGATCAGACGACTGGTCTCATACACAAAGCTCTAAGATAACTGAAATATGTCGTTAGTGAGTTGAGAACAATTGAATAGATCAACCAATCCGTGATTGTAACTGTGAACCTCTGTAGTGTCGAATCAGTATGTCAGTGCTGAGAAATTGAAAATTGAAATCGGTTGTCATAGATTCTACATTTGTCAATTTTGAAAAAAAATCAAGATATAAAGCAGATCTGCTACTTTCGGTATATGAGGTGTAAGCACTCGCGGAAATGTGAGTTATTGCATTACAAAACATCGTCGATATTTCCGATTATGGAATCAAAGAACTTTTAAAGGTGTGTTTTATATCATTTTCTTTGAGATGATTTTGAAAATAAAGTTATGCCTAAGGTGCTTATAGTTGGATCAGACATACATAGCATGAGGTGCAAATCCTGCAATGTTCTCCTGTGTTATACAAAGACATGTGAGATTTAAGCAAATGACAGTAGTTATTTTATTTTCCAAAGTTTTGTGCTCGAGCATCCTTTGATATACAAACAAATAGAGGTAATATGATTGCCAATAAAAAAAAAAAATTTAAATGACGTAAATAAAAATTATAGGTCGCTGAACGGCCTTTAACAATGAGAAAACCTATTTCCCATAGCCAGTTATACAATGAATATTCAACGTGTAAAACCAGGTCTGTATGAGTGCAACACATCTCACATTTTTACTTTTTTCACATACTTGATTGCTTCATTAGATATGTGAGTTTTTTTATTCGCATAAAAAGCAAGGATTGTTTTGTTATTAAATAATACCAGCCGAGATATTAAAAACAAAAAGTTAGTTAAAACGCTTTTTGGCAATTAATTTTTTTTGCAAACAAATGCGCTAAAAATATTTAGAAACAAAAGCGGACAACTTAACTTTAAACTTATGATCCATCCCGAATAAAATAAAATAAAACAACGTTACCTAGTTCATTTATATGATTGTTAGGTTAAAAGCAACTATATGCACAGGATTCATTTGTTTTTTTCACAGTTTGATTTAGAAAGACACAGTTTGATATAAAAGAAAAAACATGGTTTTAAAATACAAATAATTACACCATAACTAACACAATTCTATATTAATATTCTTGTAATGGTTAGAAAATACATCAAATAACACTATTACAAACTTAATCCCAATTTCATATTGTATTTTTAAAAATTTTACTGTGACGGCACTTTTTGTGGCGTTGATACATTCGTGTGACATAGTTCATTTTTCGATTGTGCTGTATTTGTGTTCTGTCGTAAATTAATTTTAGGTGTTCGTTGTTTTTCTGTGGTTTAAATGTTGAAATGGACAATTATATCATTTATTTATGTATTTCTCTGTCCTAAATGTTCTTGCATTTATTTGTACTTTATTCCTGTCACGTAACCTTGTCATTTTAGCGAATTTTTTAACATTGCTATATAAGCGGGAGGTTTGGCTAGCCATGTAACCATGTTCAAGCCACCATTTTTTTCTTAAAATGTTCTGTTCCAAGTCAGGAATATGGCAATTGTTATCACATAGTCCGTTTTTATGTATGTTGGCGTTTGTTTTTATAGGAGTTCAATTTTTCTGTTGTTACGTTTTGTTTCCTCTTATAGTTGATGTGTTTCCCTCAGTTTTGATTTGTGACCCGGATTTGTGTTCGCTTAATCGATTTATGACTATTGAACAGAGGTATACTACTATTGCCTTTATTTACGTTAAACTTGGACTTCATTAGTGTAATTGTTTCCCTGGATTGTTCCTCTTTTGTAGAATTCATTATTGATACAGGTTAAGAGGGAACATTTGATATATATGTATGTATTATTGCAAATGTTAAGACGACACATGACAATTTTGAATATTGATAATGTTCCAAACAAGGCAACAATGCGTTTTGTTTAAAATTTCATATAAAGTATTTCTTAATGTATTGTAGACAGGTTGACGACATAATGAAAAACAACATAGGTCTGACAGTCAAATTGGAATGCGTACACCATGCTGTTGATATCGATTTATTCTGATGGGATCCTAGTTTTCTTTTTCATTACCAGTATACTAGATGTCAATTCTTCATTTTTTTAAAAGACATTTTAGACAAGATACAAGGGGCACTGGAAAATCCAACAAAATCAAACAACACCATTTCAAAAACATAAACGATAAAAGGACAAACAACAATAACAAAACTATAAAAAGAAAACTAAGACCTAGCATCCGTCGTGTTGGTCATGAAAACATCCATTGTAAGTCTTTTGTGGTAAAATAGGAAAGATTGTTGTTATGACAAGTGGAACATATTCAGAGTTATATGGAAAACAAATATTTCAAATATGTCAACCAAACTATGATCGCGTCCGTAACACCATTAAACATGTTTAAGGGATGCCACTAACATTAGTATTTGGATCAATGTCTTCTGTGTTATCAGTAACCCTCTATCATGAAAGTCATTATTTAGTTATTACATGTCTGGTTGAAATAAGATAATAGAGGAAATGGAATCTAACAAAACCTAGTCAAACACCTCAACATTGATTTGAATGACCGGAGCACATAAACAAATCTGAATCATGGTAATATATACCTTTATCATAGAGGTTGTGTATCAAAGATGTCTGTATTTAATGGTCATTGTTAAATATTTTGCCTATAGTTACGGCGTGTCTATTATCAGAACGAGCCTAGTGTTTAAATATATTTTCAAAACCATGTCTGTAGTAAATGACTGTTTTGACTATTTGTTACTTACAATACACGTAGATAATACTTACATATTAGATCTCTTTTCCTTTCTGAAAGACGAAACAGATCAATGGTGTCAGTTTCACATGTATAAGTGACAGATTCCCAAACAAATATACTGATAGATGTGTTGTCGTTTACTCAGATAGCATTTCCAAAGCAAAACAAATGGTTTCGAATAAAAAAAATGTGGTTGATTTACTTCATTATACCACCTATTGTTGAATTATATTGTGAGTTGACCATTCAAAACCGTTATGGACAAGGATAACATTATTATGATAACATTAACGGCATTACATTTTCAGACGTGTATTACGACAATTAATGGTGTTGATTGACTCAGCAATTATGAGTATCTTAAATTTAATACAAACGTAAAATGTCTAAATTGATAAGTATTCGCTGCATTGAGAGCTATGCATAATGCTTCTATTAAACATTTTGTTATCAATTATGAGGCTGTTTAGTGTTCTAAATATCTGAAACATAACCATCGAAAATGGGCATATGTCGTATAGTAGAACATACAGTTCATTGTTAAAATATGATTGATGTATGTACGATTTGCCGTTCATTATTGAGGATTGTGGTTAAGTTGTTCAATGTTGTTCTGGAATTATCAACAAAACAAAACTGCAATGTTTTACCAAGATATGAGTATTTTATTTTTATGACCTTAGTTATTTTGGAAAGTTTGGTATCCAAGTAACTAATATACATCCATTCATATCACTGATGGCACACGCGAATATTGGGATATATATATAAAATGATTAAAATTGTTCTTCTGATAAGGGATACACTGTAAAGTAATGCCTCCTGCTTGGGGCACACTCATTAAATATATCACACGTTGTCAGAGAGTAATACAGTTTGAATAACATCCATTGAAAATTGAACAACCTCCTGTAAAACTTAAATCGCAAGGCCTTTTGAATTCACTAGATAACAATACACGAGTTTAAGAAAATAGGGTTTTCTTTTTACCTGTAAAATACACATGTACTGAGGTAATTTAACCTTATTAAAATTCTTCTTTTATGCCATGTCTTTAATTTTGACAAAACTTAATTAATCAACCTAATTGTTACTGCAACTTTGGAACACCATTCCTTTTTTAAAAGACTATCAGGGATTGCTATGGAACTTCTATAATATTAAATTCTTTACAAAAACGTAGGTGTCATTTTTAAAATTTATAAAGTTACGTTATATACAATAACAAAAAAAGTCCACTGCGTTATTAACTAAACTCGACTGACACCATAAACTTATACCAGGCTTAAATTAGTGTTGAAAAGTTTCCAGTAATCATAAAATATATCTCAAACATTCTAAAAAGTTTGAATACCATTTAAGATATGTATTTGAATAATGGTTGAAAGTTCTAGTATTTTTGATGAACAATGTGCAATGTGAACATGACATTATGTATATACAAATTTATTTAACCGAAAACTTAATTTATTACATGATATTTTTTTAATCCTACCAGAAATAATTTTCTTTGGTCATCTTGTTTTATTTTTATTTCAAAGGTTATATTCATTGTATATATATATATAAATAATTACTCTAAATACCAGCACAATAATGTTGAATCTGCAAATTTGCGGAAGCAAATTTTTGTTCTTCCCTTGCCGGGATTCGAACTCATGCTATTGGGATATCGTGACAACACCACCTGCACTGTGTCCAGCGCTCTAGATCACAGGGCCACCTAGACTGAACTAAATATTCAGCTTTCGGTGGCCTAGTGTTACCTTTCCTCGTCAGTAGAATCTAGAGTTGTAACACAGTACATGATATATAAAGCACGGAGATGGAATTGATTGCAGATTAGCTAAAGTATCTGTCGTAGAGGATCGTAAGATGTAGTCACAGAAATAATTATTTGATCAGTACGTCTAAACAAGTGACAACTCTACGACAGATCCATCTATAAGATCACCAGTGAAGGTGATGCACGACTGAAAACACATATCATATTCATAATTACTCTAAATATCAGCACAACAATGTTAAATATGCAAATTTGCGGAAGCAAATTTTTGTTCTTCCCTCGCCGGGATCCGAACTCATGCTATTGGGATATTGTGACAACACCGCCTGCGCTGTGTCCAGCGTTCTAGACCACACATATATATATGTATAAGTGTTGATGAATATGGTGTTGATGATTATATTATGTTTATTGTGAAATTTTAGTTTCAATGCTATATTAAATACATTTTGGATTTCAAATTGTTGTTCAAATTTCTAGCCAAGGGGAATAGCTGTTTTTAAAAAAGTTCCTTAATTGATGAAATACAATAGATAGATACAGAAATAGGTTGGTTAAAACTTGGTAGAGTATGGTTCAGACTAGTCGATTATGGTTCAGACTTGATTGAGAATGGCTCAGACTTGATCGAGAATAGTTCAGACACATATAAAATGGTTCATTACTGGTAGAGACTGTTAAGTATGGTTCAGACTACGCTCGAGTAATATCAAGTAAATTTCACACCAAGTCAGTTTGGTCGGGTAAAAATCAGTACAGTCGAGTAAAGATAATGGCCATTTCAGATTTTTTCTGGTTTGTAGTGTATGTTGCATATATAATATAAATATACATATTTACGTCATGTCCATAAAAACAATATTAAGGAACTTACCCACACCATTCACATCTGTACAGGTATTTTCCTTCCTCTTTTGGTTTCGTATCCTGTTCGTAATCACTGTAATGAACATCACAATTGATTAAAATAAAATTAAACTCTTTTTAAGTTAACGATATAAACACAAGGTAGCAATGAATTAATGACATACTTATCTATATTCAAAATCCTTATAGAACTATTTCTGCCTTGCATATACTTTTCCCTCCTATTCCCCGTCCTTCTTACAGCAAAAAGCCGCATGAACTGATGAAGTCTTTAGCTTTAACAATATGCAGAACGGTTTAATTGAAGAAGCTATATATAAAGGCAATAGTAGTATACCGCTGTTCAATAGTCATAAATCGATTTAACTGAAACAAATCCGGGTCACAAACCAAAACTGAGGGAAACCATGAAAGGAAATAAAACGGAACAACAGAAACACTGAACTGTTACAAAAACAAACGCCAACACTTAAAAACGGACCCTGTGATAACAATTGCCATATTCTTGACTTGGTACAGGGCATTTTAAGAAAAAATGGTGGGTTGAACCTGGGTTTATGGCTAGCCAAACCTCCCGCTTATATAGCAATGTTAAAAATACCGCTAAAATGACAACATTACGTGACAGGAATAAAGTACAAATAAATGCAAGAACATTCAGGACAGAGAAATACATAAACAAACAATACAATAGCCCATCCCAACATGTAAACCACAGAATAACAACGAACACCTAAAATTAATTGACGACAGAACACAAATACAGCACAATAGAATAATGAACTGTTCGTAACACGAACGCATCAACGCCACAAAAAAAAAAAAACGACGTCATAGGTAAATTTCTAAAAATACAAAATGAAATTGGGATTAAGTTAGTAATGGTGTTATTTGATGTATTTTATAACCATTACAAGAATATTAATATAGAATTGTGTTATATACGATTATTCCAAATATTATCAAAATCAATGGTAGTGTTCTGTTATGTTCATTCAATGATAATATACAGACAAAACAATTTTACTAACTTCCTTCGCTATTCGTGAATGTTACTGCTAAAGTCGTTGACCCCGTTATCAACAGTCGATTGTGAATGTGACTACTGACGTCGTTGACCCCTTTATCAACAGTCGATTATGAATGTGAATGCTAAAGTCGTTGAACCCTTTATCAACAGTCGATTGTGAATGTGACTACTAAAGTCGTTGACCCCTTCATTAAAAGTCGATTGAGAATGTGACTGCTGAAGTCGTTGCCCCGTTATCAACAGTCGATTGTGAATGTGACTACTAAAGTCGTTGACCCATTAATCAACAGTTGATTGTGAATGTGAATGTAAAATCGTTGAACCCTTTTTAACCGTTGATTGTGAATGTGACTGCTAACGTCATTCATCCCTTCATCAACAGTCGATTTTGAATGCGGCTGCTGAAGTCGTTGACCGCTTTATCAACAGTCGATTGTGAATGTGACTGCTGAAGTCTTTGACCCCTTTTTCAACAGTCGATTGTGAATGTGAATGCTAAAGTCGTTGAACCCTTTATCAACAGTCGATTGTGAATGTGACTACTAAAGTCGTTGACCCCTTCATTAAAAGTCGATTGAGAATGTGACTGCTGAAGTCGTTGACCCCGTTATCAACAGTCGATTGTGAATGTGACTACTAAAGTCGTTGACCCATTAATCAACAGTTGATTGTGAATCTGAATGTAAAATCGTTGAACCTTTTTTAACCGTTGATTGTGAATGTCACTGCTTACGTCATTCCCCCCTTCATCAACAGTCGATTTTCAATGCGGCTGCTGAAGTCGTTGACCGCTTTATCAACAGTCGATTGTGAATGTGACTGCTGAAGTCTTTGACCGCTGTATCAACAGTCGATTGTGAACGTTACTGCTGGAATCGTTGAACCCTTCAGCAAACATTCGATTTAAAATAATCTTGTGAATCGAGGATATTTTAAAAAGAGATGGAAAATATCTAAGAGGACAATCAAACTCATACATCGAAGACATATGGGTAACACTATGGCAAATAATGAAAATTGACGAAAGGACAAACAACAGTTAACATAAAACTACATATACACAACTAAAAGAAGACTGCGCAACATGACCTGATAATGTCGTTTGAAAACAGTATGGTGTCCTTAGCTTATACTATGCACAATTTGCCTTACTAGTGCGGATAATTATGATGAATGCCTTTTACATTCAATATCATGGTTATATCGTAAATTTAAAGTATCAATAGGTTCCAAATCTTTAACTAGACAAGCAGAAACATTTTAACGAGTAGTATATTTACGAAAATTAAATACAACCTAATTTTAAAGCTATGGAAAATAAATTACGCTATACGTTTGCACATCATTATCAGTATTAATTACTTAAACGCAATCCTACTCGAATTAGTGCTTGCTAACGTATGCAACGCATTATAAATGAATTTGTAGAAGATGTAAATCAAAGTAAAACAAAATATTTAAAAAACAATGTGAGTTGGTGAAATATGTATCAAGATAATTAAGCAAATACGGCTTTAAACAACTGCTACTTAGGAACAATGTAATGAAGATAAGTACATACATGTAACTAGTAAATGTGTCAACATTAAAACGGTGCACTGGTTTACACAATATAAGAAACAAATTTACCCAGAACCATGGAGAGAGGGGCTTCATTTCGTAAAAAAAAATTAAGGTATACACGAAGATAATGTGTGATTCACTTAAACTTTTAACGAACAGTTTACATTATTGTATGCGTAAAATTAACACAATATACAAACATATTGCCCTACCTCTTTGGTTTAGGTAATTCTTTCTCTCTGTTTCCGATATGTTGTGTACGTACTCCACTGTCAAAATAAAAATGAAGTATTTACATATGATTCCTTAAATGCATAATATCAAAGCAAAACATTTTAAAAATGAGGAAAACAGACATTCTGTGCCAGTTTGAAAACAAGTATTCCTGAATAAATTCATAAGTTTACGTAGTGTCGAGTGCATTGTGAATACAATTTAAAATGTACATTGTCATAGACCACATGTCTATTCACTAGAGTCCATTGTTATTCCATTATAAACAATACATTGTTAATGACCACATCTTTTTATTGAATGAATTGTCTCCCCTGCATCTGTCATGAGATTTAATACAGAAATACATTGATATTCAAAAACAGAATTTTGATTATACAAAAATACATGTCACTTTCAAATAATATAGTTATATTAAAGCATGTATTCGGACTACAGAATGCAGTCTACAAAACAATACTCTCAGGTATTTCAGTGGATTTACCTTATTTTGAAGATGCCAAACAGTTGTTTGATGTCGTTATCTGTTACAGGCTTAGCAGTATACTGTATGTTCGGAAACTCGGATATAGGCTCTATCGTCAGCTTTGCAATGTCATTTGTAAGTTTCTGTAAAGACTGTAACAATTGTCCATCGTTTCGTGTCTTTTCGAGTTCATATATTTTATTGCTTATGTCACTTCCCGCCTTCAAATCCATTTTGCTATCTGCCATGATCTTTGTCAATTTGTCCTTTTCCGTCTTGGATTGATCCTTGACCGATGCGATCATCTCTGCGATGCATTTATCAACCATTGCCTTTATATTTGTACCTTCTTCTGTTATAGCTTTTACTACTACTTCTACGTTTACATCAAATGCCTTTAGACCTTCTTCTATCTTTTTCAAGTTTTGGGTTGTTTCGTGTACCTTTCTGTGGAGGTCTTTTTTAATCTTCACCTTCAACTTTGTTATGCTGTCCATAAGCTTAGAAAAGGCATGGCCTGTGTGACTTCCGGTCACGCAACTGCTACAAACTGCTACATTACAGGTATTACATAGAAAACATAAGTCTTCCTTGTGGTCCGGACATTTCGATTTACCTTCCGGAATGACGTCTAAGGACGACTGAAACTGGTGATTGATTGTGCCTTTCTGTCTTTTGTGAAATATTTTACAATTTTCACAAAAGTATTGTTCACATTCTAAGCAGTATTGCGATCCTGAAGCACTTATGCAAATCTCGCATGTTTTAGACGCCGCCTGAGCCATTTTATCGGAAAGCAAATACACTTATCACACAGGTAAGATATATAACCCGTGACATAACAATCTATATTTAGATATAATAAGATTATATCAATATGTGTCGTATATTTATTTGCAACGTTAAATACATTCAGGTTGAAAAGAATCTCCGTATAATAATAAAAGCAAAGAACAAGCTGTCTAAATTAAATGAGCAATAATAAGTGAAAAACAATGAAACCCTTACTACAGCAAAATCCATGGGGATTGCACATAAGACATGTAAATATGCAAAAATAAAAACATACAACTTATTATAGGTTTATAACATATATAGAATGATTAAAATTAATGCATGGGTAAGTGCCTTTATAACAAATACGGCCCTTAAACAAATATGTCTTACCAACAAATTTATGTTTTTATGTTTTTATCCGTATGTGTCTAACCTTGAAGTATTCAAAATAATAAACAGGGACTATATAGATATAAGAAGATGAGGTATGAGTGCCAATGAGACAACTCTCCATCCAAGTCACAATTTATAAAATTAAACCATCATAGGTCAAAGTACGGCCTTCAACACAGAGCCTTGGTTCACACCACACAGCAAGCTATAAAGTGCCCCAGAAAATTACTAGTGTAAAACAATTCAAACGGGGAAAACCAACAGTCTAACCTATGTAAAAAACGAGAAACGAGAAACACTTATGAACCACATCAATAAACGACAACTACTGAACATCGGATTCCTGACTTAGGACAGGTGCAAACAATTGCAGCGGGTTTAAACGTTTTAATGGTACCAAACCATCACCCTTATCTATAACAATAGTGTAACATAACAAAATAGAAAGACACATGTTATACAGAATGAAACACGTACATTACTTATATATTTTGCCAAAAGAATATACATTTATCTAAATTATCAACATACAATTTGTAATGCTCATATAAGTACACAATATTACAAAATCTTTCAGAAATTTGTCTATATGATATATATTATATACAGGTATAACAGCTAATCTTACAGGTAAGACATTTAAAGAGCTGTTAGAATATTCTTTTATTTGTCTTTATTAATATTACTTTACTGTTAAGTCTTTTTTTGTGATATCCATTTGACGTGACTCTGTACTTATGTATCCTGTCATACTTTGAACGACAAAATTATTTTTTTTTTTTATTTTATTAATATTACTTTTACTGTTAAGTCTGTTTGTTTGTGATATCCATTTGACGTGACTCTGTATTTAGATATATCGTCATACTTTGAACGACAAAAGTATTTTATATCTATCTGTGTGACGTCAAACGCGCAATTCTTCGCCAGTACTTAAAACCTTCTATCCTTTATTGGTGGATTTTACATAGATAAATAAAATCGTATCATAAAAAAGCAAAATGAGAATGTTAAATTTGATGTTTGCCTTTTTGTGCTTCTTTGTTACATGTGTTTGTTTTTATAGTGATTAAGATGATAATACAATGTTGGCAGCTGTGCCCCTATTTTTGACATTTTTACCTCTTGTGTCTGTTTGTTTTGTTCACGCATTGTTGTCAATATAATGGAATTTGATGCGACACTATACAAGTGAGAGGTTTAGCTAGCTGTACCTGTACCAAGTCAGGAATATGACAGTTGTAACCCATTCGTTTGATGTGTTTAGTCTTTTGATTTTGCCATTTGATTAGGGACTTACCTATTTGAATTTTCCTCGAAGTTCAGTATTTGTGATTTTTCTGTTTTTCTTTTGTTTGTAGATAAAAGTACAGGTATCTAGCGTGATACTGTATTTAGAAAAACACGATGGTCCCTTTATGATAACAAAAGTCAGAGCCATGAAATAATTTCACATTTATAAATTATAAATACATTAACTCAAACGTGTCAGACCTTTGATCGATGCATCTCAGAACGTTAAGAAAATTGGGAAAACTACTAGCTAACCATTATATAATTTTTGTTTTTGTTTCACAGATAACGATAGTTATCTTCCAATGGTCGTCACCACTATCGCTTACTCATTGTCTCAAACAGGACATTGTGGAATTCAACTAATCAACATATGTGTGTTTCAAACTAGGTACGAAATGTTGACCAATATCTTTTTACCCTTTCACAGCACTAGATAATACCCCAAATTTTAAGTTGGGTCCCGGTTACTCGGTCTTTGGTTTTTCTATTTTGTGTTGTTTGTATTTAAGTAGTTTTTTTTTTTTTTTGCCATGGCGTTTTCAGGTTTTCTCCGACTTATTAGGTTGAATATCTTTTTGGTATCTTTCGCATCTCTTTCAAAAGAAAACTTATCTGTGTTAATTCCTTACTGATATTGTGTCCAGTTATATGGTAGATCGATTGCCAACAATAACGTGAATTGTAACATTGCCATCTTGGTTATTAATTCGAACTTCCATATTATGACCGCGTTTAATTAGTCAGCTTGAATTGATTGTCAAAGCAAGTCTGTCTTTACAAGGGAAAGTCGTAAAAAATATGTTTACAACAAAATGTGCAAGCCAGCGTATGATACAACAGGTGGGGACTGCCACCAAACTTGAAACCTTATGTTGATGAAACTTACTGGTGACTGGCACAACAGACCAAAGAGGTTTAATGGTTAATTTTATTTTTGGCTTGCTGTCTCATTTTCTCACAAATCTACTCAAAAGTTATATTCTGAAAAAAAGCAATTTTGTACACGCTGTGACTAAGAGCCTGACATATTGACTTCGAATTAGGACTTTATATATGTATTGAAGTAAACAGTTTGCTCTTATTCTTCCTTTTAAGATCACTAAAGTGACAAAGACAAACGCACTGACTTCCAATTAGGACGATGACATACTGTCTCGGTACAGGTTTTGGATAATTGAACATGCGAATATCTAATAAAACTAATGACAATTTGCATTCACAAAGTCAATAAATTGTTTAAAACAATTAATTTTGTTGATTAAGTTAAACTGTTAATTTGCAATTCTTAAAAAAAAAACGGTATAAAGAACCAAAAGACATTTGAAAATATTTTATCGAAATTGTTTATCGAAAGGTTATTTCGGAATATCCCTATTGTTCACCACACTTCAACTTTGGGCGTTTCATAAACATTAAAATATAACAGTTCTACTCCTACAACGTCTACTTATAATAATGATACAGTATAGTAATAATAATGAAAGTAATAAAATCAAATAAATAAGGTAATCATGATATAAAAAACACTATATCATAATTAAGAGAGAGAGAGAGAGAATAAAGAACTTACATCAGTTGAATTACATGTGCTACATTACTTGCAATATTATGCATTACTATTTGACGGGAACTTGACTGATCGGTGAATGATCGGTGACGGATGTTTGACTGATCGATGAATGATCTGTGATCGATAACCCATATAAACCGTCAGATACGTCAAATAAGCTATGTGAGAGTAACCGTGACAACGGTCAGCGATCGATCAGTAAATTAATTATATGCACGGATCGCACGGATCGGCCGAATGCGTATATAATTAAAATACTTATGTAAAACGAACTCCAAAGTAATTACATGCGATAAACGCGGACCTCTTCGAAGACACCTTTACTCACAATAACACATAAACAAATATGTAAATTACTTTTCACGCATTATGTGTATTTTGTTTTCTTTATTGGTTTTCTTTTTTTTTCAGCCAAATAAATTACCTAAGTGCATTTTAATGTCATGCTCAGAATGTTTCTGTATCACTAAAAAGAGATAACATGTTATCATGTATGTAGCAATTATGCATTTTAATGTCACTAGATGATGAAAATGAAAATAATATAACAGTACAGATACTTAAAGCTAGGTTTGGATAAATTACGAATGCATTCATTTCTTTATTTACATGGAAATCATGAACCACGATTGAAATTTATTACTTTTTGTACATCAGGATGTGTTGTTTTTTTTTTACCAAATAATGATTTATATCAGAGAAAAGATACTAAAATTGTGTTTCTATTGTTTAAATATGCTAACATTTCTTCTTTTTCTAAATGCCTCTAAATAATTCTTTTTTTTTATGAAATGTGAAGAATTTAAGTATAAATAAACTTTTGTTTTTGTTAAATAAGAATGCAACCATTTCTTTATTTTAATGGAAATTATCGACCGCCATTGGATTTTAGTTCTTTTTGTTCATCAGGATGGATTGTTTTTCATAAAATATGCTAAATTTTGGGGAAAAGATACTAAAACTTTGTTTGCATTGATTAAAAATGCCAATATTTTTTTGTCCTTTTTGTACATTAGAAAATGTTGTTTTTCACAAAATTTAATGAATATCAGAGAAAAGAAACTAACATGTTGTTAGCAGTGCATTGTTTAAAATTACCAATATTTTTTTTATTATATCCAACAAATTGCAATGTTATTTGTAACTAGTTTAATCAAAGGCCTCAGTGCAAGTTCTTTTTTGATAAAATTGTAATGATATTATGATGAAAATACTTAAACTTTTGTTTGTGTTGAATGGGAATGTAATAATTTCTTTATTGTAATAGAAATTATGAACCGCCATTAGAATGTAGTACTCTTTGTACATCAGGATTTTTTTTTTACAAATTATGATATATATCAGAGAAAAGATACTAAAATGATTTTCGCATTATTTAAATATGCAAATATTTCTTCTTTATATTCAAACTAATGCAATGTTAATTGCAATAAGTCATTTTAAATGCCTGTGAGTATTTTTTGTTTTTTTTTAAATGTGAATAATATAAGGATAAATATGCAAAAACTTTTGTTTTTGTTGAATAAGAATGCAATCACTCCTTTATTTGAATATATATTATTGATAGTCATTGTTGTTTTGTACTTTTTCTACATCAGGAAAGGTTGTTTTTCACAAAGTTAAATGAATATCAGAGAAAAGATACTAAAATGTTGTTCGCATACAAATGTAGTTTAAAATTAACAAAATTGGTTTTTTAATGAAAAAAATACAATGTTATTTGTAACTGGTTATTTCAAAGGCCTCAGGATAAGTTTTTTATTGCTATAATTTCATAAAATAATGA